GGGGGGGGGAGGTTTGCTGCAAAAAAGCCACACCCACCTAGCCATGCACGCAGAACCAGTTGTTAAAAAAAATTGAATCCCATCCCTGTGGAAGCCAATTGTGAAGGTTCCAAATGGTGATTCCATGACTGTGCGACACTGCAACTCCTAACCATAAGATGAGACGTAATATACATATGCTCTAACACAGTGGCCCCCAACCTTTTTTGTGTCATGGCATCACAAAATGATCCGCAGCCCGGTACCGGCATCAGCACGCATGGCAAGGCGAGCCGAACGACCAACCAGCCAGCTGTCCCCCGCTTCTCCCCGCCACCTTCAACTCCTCCTTTGTACCTTTGTCGATGGGCTTTGGGACAGCCGCTTGGCTTGCCTTGCCTTGGGTGCTGAAAGAATCCGCTCACCTTAGTTTTGTTCGAAGCCAACCACCCCCCTCAATGAAACTAAGGCACGAGGATTCCTTCAGGACCCAAACGCAGCTTTCCAACCGGAAAAGCTTACCGGAAGCACTTTCTCATCAAAACAAGATGGCGGCGCCCAGCAAACCGGCGGCCCTGTAGAAAATGTTCCACGGACCAGTACCGGTCCAGGGCCCGGTGGTTGGGGACCCCTGCTCTAACCAAGGAGAGAGAAAGGAAAAATGATTAAATATAAATTGACTACTTTAAAATTTAGAAATGTCACATGTTTAAATGGAAAGTAAGTAGGATCTTGAGACTCGGGCCAAAAGAGCCCCTTGGATCCTCCACACGCCAGTCCTGACCTGCTCCTGGGTTGCTGAGTTCCTTTCTGCATAGGGATCGTATTTTTTTTCCGTCTTCACTAAACAGGGCATGGGCGTGGCCCGCATGTGATGCATCTGACCCGTGGGCCAGCTCTGCTGTATACCATCCCCTCTGACTGTTAGGTTGGCTTTATTTAATTTTATCTGATATTTTTATATAGACCTGTAAGAGATTCAGAGGCTTTGGGATCGTTGCAAGGGCTCCCAACTTCTAATTGTAATGAGACACGATAAAGATGTGCACTGAAATATGACACCAAGGAAAGAAAGAAAAATAGATCAAATATAATTTTACTATTTTAAAAATTTAGAAATTTTGCACATCAAGTTTAAAGTCACTTGGAGATTGAGACTCTGACCAAGAGAACCTCTTGGTTTCTCTACATGCCAGTCCTGATCTGCTCCCGGTCACTGAGTGTCCTTTGCAAAGGGATCGCATGCAATGCGACCTACTAAAACTAAATTGTAACCTGTCTTTTTGAATCGTGTTGGTGCGATGAACAATCTTGGAATTCTTTGGTGTCTTCTAATCCCAGCAACATCAGGATCGTTTGTCTCCATAGCTCAAATGTCACCTTCGCTGCTACAAATAATGTGTCTCTCTTTATTTGAAGGAATTTTTGAAAAACATGAAGGAGCCTTGGGAGAGAAGTGAAAGAACAGGAAACATCTCCCATGTGATGGGGAAGAGAGTTAGTTACCTTGTCCCAATGTTTACAGAAATGCTGACACTTTCCTTTCTTTTTCTATCTCAGAGGCTATTCATGATTCTTCCGAAAATGCTCTTTTAGAAATGAAATGTCTGCTGCACATTTTTTTTTCTCACATCTCCCCACCGGAGATGTCAGTCCCTTGGTGCTGCTCTTAACCCCCAGCCATCAAAGGCTAACAAGGAGGCACCTGCAAATGAAGGAGGATCACAGCAGGAGTTGCGAATAAACCTGAAGATCACGTGCACAAAACCACAATTCTTTTTCTCCTCAACTTAATATTCCTACAGCTCTTCTCCATGAAGGCCACCTGCAAGGCACAACAGTCTTCACACCTGAAATTTTACTGAAGTTTTGTCACTGCCCAAACACCTCCCCCCCCCAATATTTTTGCCATTCATGTGGCTTTTTCCACCTGTGCCTCATTCTTGACACAATCTGAACAGACATGCTTGGTGCAATGAATTCCTGGAACAGTTAAGAAAAGATAAACTTTGAAACCCTTCTGCTTCTTCTGTCGCTTTCTCCTTATATGAGGAGCCACAATCTCTAACTATAGTCTGAGTGCTCCTGTCCCCAAGAGATGTTGGCTGGAGAATTCTGGGGCTGAAAATCATGGAGCAGGCAAGGAAGAAAAAGGCTGGGACTCTGTATGTGGCATTTCTATCATCTACCATGATAAAAATACAAAGAACATTCCCCAAACTGTTTTACATAATTGCACAATTTCTGCATAAATATTCAGCAACATTTTACGCTGAAGGCGCTAAAGGCTATCAAACTAATATGTTGCAATTTTTTCTTTCCTCCTTCCCATGACACATTTGCCTAAAAAAAAAAATCAGGTAAATTCTTTGTAATCAAATTACCATATTTTTTGCATTGTAACCCGCACTTCCTCCCTCTGAAAGTGGGTGGAAATGTCTGTGCACCTTATAGAGTAAATATTGCGGCGGGGGAAGGGGGGTTGATGTGCTGCCGCCAGGGGACAGTGAAGCTTTTGCTACCAAGCAGCTGATTGGCGGTTGAACTGGTCTCCCAGAATACTGCCGATCACCTGTTCTAGGCGGCGTGCATCACCGCCACTTACCGCCACCTGCCCATTCACCGCCAATCACCACTGCCTTATCACCGCTGCCCATTTGCTAACGATGGGCGGTAGCAAATGACTGGTGATAAACAGGCCGCAGCTATCAGTGGCAATAGGCAGCAGTGGCAATCCCTGCTACCTAGAACAGCTGATCAGCACTATTCCGGGAGGCTGATCCAATCATTAATCAGCTGCTCGGCAGCAAAGGCGTCAGTGTTTCCTGGTGGCGGCAGCAGCTCAGCTCAGTTGAAGATTGGTGGGCACGAGGAGCCCTGATGAGCCACGTGTTGGGGCTGTGATAAGGTGCTGAAGTTGACCAGGCTGTTTTCTGCAAGGACGCTAGCCAGATAAATACAGGATGGATGCTGGGATGTAGAGGCAGATTTTTTTTTTCTTATTTTCCTCCTCTAAAACTAATGTGCGTCTTATAGCTCGGACCATCTTGTAGTGTGAAAAATATGGTAGCCAGTTTCTCAGCTAGACTTATAAAGGGACATTAGAAAATAAATTCAAGCCTTCTCTATACTCATCACTTTGGGCTGCATGTGGATTTTCTTGTGTGCGATAAGGCTGGAATGTTTCCTGAAGCACCGATCACACTCAGGGCACTCAAATGGTTTCTCCCCTATGTGTATAAGCACATGATTTATAAGGTTAAACCTACTACTGAGATCTTTCCCACAGTCTGGACACTCATAAGGTTTCTCTCCTGTGTGAACCCTCTGGTGTGTCACCAGCCTGGAATTGTTACTGAAGCTTTTCCCACAATCAGGACATTCACAGGGTTTCTCTCCTGTGTGAATCCTCCGGTGTTGTATCAGCCTGGAATTCTGACAGAAACCTTTCCCACAGTCAGGACATTTAAAGGGTTTCTCTCCTGTATGAGTCCTGTGATGTATCAGGAGCTGGGAACTCTGAGAGAAACATTTTCCACACTCAGAACATTCAAAGGGTTTCTCTCCTGTATGAATTCTCTGGTGGCTAATGAGGTTGGAATTTCTAATGAAACTTTTCCCACAATCAGGACATTCAAATGGTTTCTCTCCTGTGTGAGTCTTCTGGTGTGTCACCAGATTGGAACTGTTACTGAAACTTTTACCACAATCAGGACATTCAAAGGGTTTCTCTCCTGTGTGAGTCCTCTGGTGTATCACCAGGCTAGAATTTGTACTGAAACTTTTCTCACAATCAGGACATTCAAAGGGTTTCTCTCCTGTATGAGTCCTCTGGTGTCTAACCAGGCTGGAATTGGTACTGAAACTTTTCTCACAATCAGGACATGCAAAGGGTTTCTCGCCTGTGTGAGTTCTCTGGTGTATCACCAGGCTGGAATTCTTACTGAAACTGTTCCCACAAACAGGGCATTCAAACGGTTTCTCTCCTGTGTGAGTTCTCTGGTGTGCAATAAGATGAGAATTCCGACTGAAACTATTCCCACACTCAAGACATTTACAGGGTTTCTCCCCTGTATGAATTCTCTGGTGACTAATGAGGTTGGAATTTCTATTGAAACATTTCCCACAATCAGGACATGCAAAGGGTTTCTCTCCTGTGTGAGTCCTCTGGTGTATCACCAGGCTGGAATTATCACTGAAACCTTTCCCACAATCAGGACATTCAAACCGTTTCCCCCTGGTACGAGTCCTTTGGTGTATCACCATATTGCCATGATCACAAAAGCATTTACTGTATTGGGAGCACCTGAAGGGCTTCTTTCCTGTGTGGTTCCTTCAATGAAACAAAACAGAGTTGTTCTGATCAAAGGTTTTGCCACATTCAGAGTATATGTAAGATTTTTCTCCAGTTTGGATCTTTTCAGGCATAATCAGCTGTGATTTCAAGTTGAATTTTTCCTACAACAGGCACGACTATGGAACTTTTCCACAACTCATATTGTTCAGGAGGTCAAAAATCTAGACGATCCCTTGTCTGTGCTTTCATTTAGTGGTGATTTTCTTCCTCATGGAGTGGGGCCTGTCTGCCCTACATGGCTATCCAATTGATCTTTTCCTCCTGACTTCCCTCTTTTGCTGAATGGAAAAATAATTGCCCTTGATTTTTCATGTAATGTATGCTTGAGTTTTGCATACTCTATTTTTCCCAGGTAAAAATCTTCTCTTGATTTTCTCTCACCTGCCTAGGAAGGATTATGTGGCTTTCTGAAGGAAATGGAAAATATTTTGATTTCTGGACTGATTTGTTTTCCTTTTCAATGTTGCTTGTTATTCGTTGTCCAGAGTGCTCTTATTGCCATCCTCTTTGTCTATAAGATTCAAATAAAAAGGTATGTTTAATTGTGCATAAACTGGCTGCAGAAGATGAGAAAAAAAGAAAAAAAAAGGTTTGTTAGAATGACAAAGCAAACATGCCACAATAAGCTCTAACTTCAATCATGATTCTTTTGACCCATGGAAGACCAGATCCAAGTTCAAATATCCATTCAATGATGAAATTCACTTGTTGACTGAGCCAATCACAAATTCTTACCACAGCAAACAGTTGTTTTCAAATACAATCCAGTGAAAAAAAGTGCACATTCTTTCATTTCTATAGTTTTACTTATAAAAATAACTGCAACAGAACAGAATAACAGAATTGGAAGGGTCTTCTAATCCAACTGCTGCTCAAGCAGGAGACCCTGAACAACCTCTGGAGGGGAGCCATTTCCAAAGGATCCACCTTCGCTTGAAAGAGGCTTTTTAAATCTTCCCCCCCGCAGAGAATTGCAGCCACCAGTTTCACAGCCTGCAGCCCCAGCGGGCTCCGATCAGGGGAGGGAAGGAACCTGCAGCTGACGCGCTTCAGCCCAGTTGCTTCTCTGCTTCCAGGCCGTGGAGGGAACCGAACAGCCCGACTTGCTCCCGGACTCTCCTCCCATCTGCTGCCCCCAACTCACCTTTCAGCTGCTGCTTCCATCTTGGGAAGAGCACCGAAGCCGCTCTGCGCACCAACTTCCTCCCATGATTCATCCGGAACAGGAAGTTCCCCTACGCTTCTCCCTCTTTTCTAGCAATGCAGTATTCAATGGTTTAAAAAAAAAAACTCCTTTTTTAAGCGCAAGCGCGGTGTCGATGCCTTTCTAGGCACAGATGTTGCTTGACCGCCATCTAGCAACAGGAGGTGGAAAAATACGCCTGTCCAATCACCACCAAGGCGTTTGGAAGATTTTTTTCACTGATTATATGGCAGCAGGTCGTTTTCGACTCCTAGCACCGGATCTTTGCAACTGAATCAGGTCAAACACTGAAACGTGACGCTACTTAGCTCTGTTTTTAGTGCCTTTGGGTCAATCTTGATGCCTGGCCTTGCAAAAATCTTGTTTACTTCATAATGTGTCTCCCCCTGTATTACAACAGGCTTTGGGACTTCTGGTCTACCATCCTT